ATCAAATAAAGCTGTTATCCTTGTGTTCAAAGCTTAACGACAAATTGAAGTGTAAGGAAATGATATCCCTCTACAATCTTGTGACTTTTAGAACCTTTCTGCACCATCATATTAAACTTGTTATTGTGCATGTACACAAAGAGAAAAGGTTCCTTTTAACACTACAAGTCTCGTAACAAGCACTACATTTATTTCAATTTTGAACAATTCCCATTGGTAGTAAGGAAATGCACGTTGTCTGCAAAAAATTAATATGAACATTAAATATTATTTTTGTACAGGTTTATCCTTGTGATAAACATCTACAGTCTCAGAAATTGGAGTGGAAATGTTTTGTAGATTTCAGTGTCAAGGAATTTTTATATAATATTTTTCTGTCATTGCTATTGGATTCCGTACTCCGTTCCGTGATTCCGTTTCCTCATTCCAGATTAGGTATTTTACGGCTGCCATCTTCGCCATTAAAATGTGCATGCAGCAACTATGTCTTTATTGTAAAAGAAATCAGACAAAGACGTGCTTTACAGGCATATGCTATCAAAGAAACTACAGGCAACATACAAAGGTCAGATCTGTACGAAGCAACTCGCTGTCGCATGAAGCTCACATGTGAAACGATTTTTATGATCGACATCGATGAAATGCTCCCAAAGCTATTACATAGACTTAAATATGCCTCTATATATTTAAACAAGATTCAGAATGTACTTACGAAACAACAAGGATCCACAGTTTAAAATAAGCGTTCTTTCTTCTCAATGATGGTTGAAACACTCAGGGTGCATTCGAGTCGCGAAGAGTGAACACTGAACTCCGTCATCACCGCTTCCATGGGATTTGGCGTTTCGTTTAAATAGTTTTTCGAAGTATTATTTCTCCCTGCAGTCTATCTCCGCAATCTATCACACTCTCCTCGCTTATCTTGACAAAAAAATGGTCCTGCATGAACAAACCACCAAAATGGAAGGCGAACCGACAGCGAAGAATGTTCAAAAGGGCGCGCGATTCAAAATCCAACGTGAAAACGAGGCACGCATGCTCGTGACACTCGCGCCCCCAGAGCGAGGCAAAATGCGTGCAAGCGTTATAATTTATTTGGCTGTTTCTAAATTGTTTCAAATTACGCGTCAATGTTTGGAGCGCTAGTAATTTTAATGACACATCTTTGAATCTCTGAAAAAAGGAAGACAGAGAGAATCATCTATCACTTTTCCAGTATTTACGACGTGTAGTTTAGCGCAGGCGATTATCTCTGTTCTTTCGGATATTTTAGGTCAATGCAATGATTCCTCATCTTGCCTGAAGCGTAATCAGTACAGTTAAAACAAATTTTATTATATGAAAAATATTAAAAATAGTGCTGTTGCCGAGAAATCCTTGGCAGCACATCGCCTACTTAAAATTAAATCAACCGAAGATAAAAGCTACCAAATTTCCGCAGAAAATTGTCTGCGGAAACGCGACTGATACGGCCTTGTACATTTCAGCCAACGGAAACGCTGCGGAAACGCTGCGGAAACGCGAAACGCGACCTCATTTTGCTCTTACGTGTTTCCGCCCTCCGGAAATGTGACGGAAACTTGAACCATCAGATTTCCGCAAGATTTCCGAAATACGGAAACGCCTTATTTCACCCTGTGTAAGCAGTACATACACGAGCTCAACTGATGCACGGACGTGCTAGAATAGATAAATGATCGTCTCATCAACAACCTAAAACAACAGGCTCTTTTTTAATTGCAGCTCGGCGTGCTACAAAACCACTATGCTGGAAAGTAAAAGTCGCACTGGGAAAAGACAAACAATGAAAATGGTGGATTTAAAAGAAGACAATGAACTTAAATCAGTTTTAGCCCGGTTTGAATAAATTATATAACTGTAGTTACGTGTACGTTAATACCCTCTGTCGTAATTTGACAGTTAATTGTGCAACCATAGGAAGATAAATCTTTCCTAATTAATCTTACAAAGTCAATTTTATTTTGCTCATGGAAAGACTGATATACAAACACGATATTACTAGTGATAGTGCAATAAATTGCAAGAAAGGCAGTTCATAATATACACGATGACTTACTTTTGTACAATTCCTATATTGAGGAGAGATTTTTCCTCTTGGTGAACTCCTAATTAACGCCGCTCGTTCAAAAGATTTTAAATCATGGCTTTGTGGCGAAGAAATTTCTTAAGAGGCCGTAAATAGTACTTTCTGATGAAAGTTATTAAAACTAAGGATTACTAGGATTGTAGCTGAAGTTGGGTGATTAAGCAATTTATAGTTATTTTTAAGGAGGAGTGGTTTCTCACGCACAAATTACAAACAACGTGCACGGAACGGAACGGCTGCTTGGGTCGCTAGACACTCCATCGTTACACGGGGGACTGCGTTGAGGCGAGTAACGTTGATCACGATTCTGTCAGCTCCATACAATTTAACACAACTTTTGCCAGGACACAGAATGTTAACCGATTGATCGGGCGTATGATTGGGATTCCGCTTATTCTGTGTACAGACGCCCCCTCCCCTCCCCTTAAAAAAATTCCCTCTCCGATTTCTTGTTCTGTGGGAAGGGGGCTAGGTTCCACTTTGTATAGAAAAAAACTTGTCCTGGGTAGAAGGGTCGGCGCGGATCATTGAACGTCTCTGGGAAACTGCCCACCTACCCCTCCCCTAAGCCAACATTTTGCTTTAAGTGAGAAGCAAGCCGAGTGTAAATATTGGCTTGGGAAGGGGTAGGTGGGCAGTTTCCCCAGAAACGTCAAAAGGGTCACTACCCGAGCTTCGCTGGGCGAGCCACCTTTCCCTACATTTCCTTACAAAACTTGGCGAACCGTTTACAAACACAATTAGCTCCGCTAGGTGGGGGTGATCCGCCCAGCCAGGTCATCCCTTTTTAATTGTAGGGCAGGAGTAGGGTCACTCTCCGAGCTGGACCAGCTTTTCTCAATGTAAACCCTTAAGCCAGCCCAGCCAGGTCAATTTTGTCAAGGCCAGACAATCAGAGCTTGTGCTAGCGCTCTTGGTTCGGGCAAAGGTAAAGGGTGGGCCTGTTCTTCGAAAGATGGTTACGTTGAACCCATTAAACCAAATTTTAAACACGGAGTCTTGTCTAAGGGTGAAGCGTATTAACTCATGCTTACAAAATACTGTTGAGTCTTTACTCTGAGATACTGCAATGATAACCTCTAAATGTTACTCCAAGCAATGCATAGGAACTGGGTAAAAACAAAACGTGGAACCAGGGACCGAGCCAAGGCTGGTCAGTTGTTCTCAGGAACGCTCGCTAATGTTGACTCGGCAGAAAGGGTGACACTCTTCGTTCCCAGGACAACTTTTCTCCATAGAAATGGGGTATTAGCCTGTTCCAGGCGTTCAGATCATAGTGGGGACTGCGTAAAGGGATTTGAGTATGACTGTCTTGAATATGCTAGTGTACATGGGCCGGGTCTTTCCAAGTTGGGTTAAGATAACCCAGGGAGTTATAGTGCGAAATTTTAATTCAGAGTGAAAGCTTAAAACGTAAATTTAGCTTAATTACTTTTGTCAACATGTTGATGATTGGATGCTCTAACAGAGAAAATTATCCGGAGAAAATGCTTTTGAACAAAAGAAAAAGAAACGCGGGTTAAATTCAACCCTGGGTTAAGTGCTAATCGGTTCGAGACTGGGCCTGGTACTGCAAAAGTCAAAACACTTAATAAACGCATTCTGCAGTTTTGATGTTCTCACATAATATCGTTCATTAACTTCATTTACTAATTAGAAAGGGATGCAATCAATCGTGTTGCAGTGATTTGTAAAAATTCGGCGATTACCGTTAGCTGTCATGTGTTTCTTTTTTCAAAATTTCGGCGTGTGCACTCCGGCGTTAAGTAGTTAAGTAGTGTACTATAAATGCCAAATTAAAATAACAAACCGAAAAAATTTTGATGCATTACGACGCAAACGGGGTACCACTTTTCGATGGAAAGCAAATGAAAAGGATTTCCCAGTTTTGTGTCAAAAATGTTACCAAGAGAGAATGGTGTTGCCTAAGGAGGGTTGCACCTCTGGAGCCACCCTGCATGACACTCTTTTGAGTTCTCCCTTCCCACTCCCAGCTAGGAGGGTAAAACAACAACAAAGTATTTAAGTATTGCAAAAGTCTCTTTTATTAGATTTTTACTGCATGCAGTAAAAATCATTAAAGCCCATGCAACTGCCACCCTTGTGAGAATTCTGAACAATTCACCCCAACCTCGTCCCCAGGGCTTTTCCCTTAAAAAATGGGTGGGGCGGGAAAAGGCCCTGCCATCGACTTGTCACGTGTACAGCCTAAATATTCCTGAGAAGCTAATTTACATGTAACCCGCTGGTTTTGCACCGACAGAAGTCGAAGGGAGTAACAATGGAAATACTAAGATCGTGAACTATGTCAATAGTTCGCGTGTGTGCGATTCAAAAGCTTAATAAGATCCATTTAATTGCGAATTATTCAAATCTTACAAGTTTATGAAAGGGCGTACCAGCTCTACATTGTCACGTACAAAATATGTCAAATGCTTCAGAGTTGCCGGACAAGCTGTTATCGAGTGGTACTTCAGAAATTCATCGTGACTGTGGAATTACTGTGCCGCCCCACCCATTAAGGGAAACGCTTTGGGAACGAGGTTGCAATTAACCCAATCTTGCCTCTTGTCTTAAAAAGTCTTTTTTTGCATATAGTAAAGGTGAATCAGCCATATTTGCACATTGCTTGCACATAGTAGCGCAGTATATGGGAGAGGGGGAGAGGGGAAGAAGGCAACAAAAAATTAAGATCATAATTTCGTTCTCAAAAGTTCTGGAGTAAGTGGTCTAAGTGGGAGCAGTGACATGTAACGCAAGCAGTGGTGTGTGTCTAGCAGTCACACATGTGATTCCAAGAATTGAACTCTGAGTATTCAATATACCGTCCAATCGACCATGCGAAAACGTCTCTGAATAAGCAATCGTTTATTAGTCTTATATACTCTTTATTATGGGAAATGCGATAAAAATCGAGGGAGTCGAAGGAATTGAGATTAAGGAAAAGCTCGGTGAGGGAAGTTTTGGTGAAGTTTACAAAGCAAAGTGGAATGGGAATCTTGTAGCGGTGAAACGATTGAAAGAGGAAGTTGCTTGGGGCCATCCGAAAGTGTTGGAGCAGTTCAAAAGAGAATGCACATTTCTGAGAGAATTGGACCACCCAAACATCGTGAAACTGCTCGACGCGATTTTCCCGCAAGGCAACTTGCCAGTTCTCATTACAGAGCTTCTGTTTTGCGATCTCTTTACGTACTACAATAACTCCAAAACGACTCCCAAAGTTTCACTCGATGAAACGATCAATATCATGCTGGATGTCGGTGAAGGCTTGAAATTTTTGCATGTTCGGGAGGATCCGATCGTTCACCGCGACATAAAATCGCATAACATTTTACTGGACTCAAAACTGAGAGCCAAGATTGCGGACCTTGGTCAAGCCAAAGAATTTCCTGGGTTAGGAGCCGGGCGCTGTGCTACCGCTACCCCCGTCCCTGGCGGTACAACATACATGGCACCGGAAACTTTTCCCAGCGATAGTTATCACTCAAATTGTCGTTTGGTTGATTACGGAGCGGAAATTGACATCTTCTCATTTGGTGTTGTCCTACTTGAGGTAACGGTAGGCCACCAGCCGTCTCCAAGGCCATTGCTGATTCCATACGGCAGAGGTAAGAGCCATGTCACGGGTGAAGACTATAATGGGACTCAGAGGGGAGGGAAAAGTTTTCACCATGTTACAAAAGGCACGTCTCTGTGCATATGCTGAGAGTCTAGTCGGAATCACTTTAACTGTGTTTTTCAATAAAGGTCAGGGAGAAGTGAAGAAGACCTTGATACGTGCCACCTTTTTACTTTTGGAGAGGAGGATATTGACTCCCGGGGGGGAGGGAGGGGGGAGAACTGCCATATATGTACCATGTACCGTGGCCCAGAAGGGTCACACATGCAAATTAAAAATGTTGCTGCAAATTAAAAATAGTACATGCAAATTAAAAATTGTACATGCAAACTAAAAATATCACATGCAAATTAAATATGGTACATGCAAACTAAAAATTGTGCTACAAATTAAAAATGAAAAGTCCTGCGCGCGCAGTATGAGTGATGACGACCTGGTCCAAGCCGTGCGACCTGGCCTTACAGCAGTCGGCCCATTCATATTTCATGTTTGTAATATTTTTAGTTTGCATGTACAATTTTTAATTTGCATGTACTATTTTTAATTTGCAGCAACAATTTTAATTTGCAGGTAAAATTTTCAGTTTGCATCTGGGCTACCGTATATATGGGCTGTATAGGTATGTGCCGCTGTGAAGGGTATGGTTTTCAAGCACTTTACTCTGGGATAGGATATATAAATCGGAGAGTTTGGGTCTAGCACAGGATATCATTTTCCAGGAAACTGTTGAAGATTTTAGTCTAGACTAGGGAAACCGTTCCGGGAATTGCCACTCAAAAAAATTTATATGAAAAAATCAAATCGGATTTGTTTTGGCTGGTCTGTGTTTGTGACCTCAGTAGTTTCTGGAAAACAGCTACTCTGGGATAGGGGGGCGATTTGGGGAGTTTAGTCTAGTATAGGGTAGCAAAATTCACTTGAAAGAGCTCTAGTGTAGCCTAAGAGTTCCAGGGTCCCAGAGGCTCATCCCCACCCAAAAATTCCTAAAGTACCTCCACCTCTCCAGGTATTGACTCTGGAACAGGGTCTATTTTTCTCCACAAGACATGATTATTCTCGATCAAGCTTTGGTGGAAAGTGACTTTGCTCCCCTTGATGTCCAATTGAGTTCTTCTTACCTGAGTCATATTCGGTACATTATTTCTTTTTTCTCATTCCCAGTGGAGGAACAAATTTGTCTACTTTGAAAAGTGAGATATTATTTTATGAGAAGCAACAACAAGGGTAGTTTTAACTCACCCCATCCCTTTGGAAGTCCAATTACGGTTCAAACCTTCCTTTACAATTTTGATCTTTTATGACCTCCTCATCCGTCCAAGAAATTCCAATAATAATTCTCCATGGGGTGTTCATTTTCTGTCATCATACAGTCCATTTAGGTGCCTGACTAAAAGGCATTGAGAGATAAGGGAAGGTGCCAAGAGGGTGCAGAGAGCACAGATTGTGAAAGGCTCCCTTGTCTGTTGCATTTTACCCACTTACCTGATACCAAGAGCTACCTTATAAAGAAGACTTGACTTTCTTTCTTGCAGATGGACACTTAGTTCCAGAGCATAGCCGTAGACGGAAGGAGCTTGGAGAGATGGGCACTCTTCACCCCCTCAGAGATATGGTCCTACAATGTCTTGAAAACGACCCCAGAAGAAGGCCTACTATTATTCAAGTGATAAAGGGTCTGCAAAGAAATGACGGAAGCCAGAGAAGAATTGAGTTGAAAATAGCAGTCCTAGGGAGCTCTGGAGTTGGTAAATCCCTCCTGATAAAACGGTACGTGGACTCAGACTTCCCTTTTGAGCTTGTTAGACCTACAATTGGTGTCGATCATCAGTCGGTCCCTTTGGAGATTGGAAATCAACTTGTCATTCTCAGAATTGTTGATCCGGCAGGGCAGGAGAGATTTGATAGCATAGCACCTGCACTCTTCAGGGGTTCCCACGGGGCTTTCCTTGTGTATGACATCTCCGAGCAACGGAGTTTCGCTGCGCTTCCGAAATACCTGGATTTCATTGCAACGTCTTGTGGTGAAGACGTCAAGGTCATGCTAATAGGAAACAAGGCTGACTTGCCAAGACGGGTCAATTTTGAAAGCGCTCAAAATTACGCAACGTTTTACAAAATGGAGCATCTTGAAGTTAGCGCCAAGACCTTAGATAATGTGGATGAAATGTTCGAGCGTTTAGCCAGAAAGATTTTAGATTCGTTAGACGAAAGTGATATACATATCCTAGAGAAAACGTTATCTCGACAGCAGTCTCGGATTCATCTCACTGATGGCGAGCAGCCAAAATCGGGATGTAACTGTTAGTCGTATGGATACCAAATCGACTTACTTCAGTCAGTACTTCGATTGTTACTGTGACCCACCCATTGGCGAATCCAGACCTTCAGATGAGGGGGGGGGGTCATCAGGAACTGAGATAAGGGGGAAGGGGGGTGGCCTCCAAAAAAATTTTTGATCAAAGAATTAGGGGGGGCCCTCCCCTGGATCCACCATTGCCAGCCAGGTATATAACACCAACCAACCAGAGCACGTATAGGAGTGGTTCAATATCAGGATTAACCAGTTTATTAAACCCTGTCACTCCTAGTATAATAGTGAAGAAGGATAAAAAAAACACTTGTGTAAGAGCTGCTCGTAAGGTCTCTACTTATTGGTTACATAAAACAATGACATGTCATTCTTTCAATTGTTTCAGTATTGTTTCGGGTCAGGGTTAGGCACCACTGGTGACTTCTCTTTTGAGTAGCTGGTACATGACCCTAAATAAAATTCTGCCATGATAACGCGGTTTGAGGGAATAAGGGTTATAGATAAGTCTAGATAGCACTTATTTCCATTGTCCCTTCGTCATACCGAATTAAGATAAGCTGTTAATATCGCATGGACTGACAGCTTGAACAAGCTGTCTCAGCCCCGTTTAAATGGGGAAAAACTGTCAAGGAAAGAGGGTCACCGGCCGCTCAGCCGCGTCAACTTTAGTGCGTGTCAGGAGTACCTAATGGATCCGCTCCTCAAATTATCCACTTCTCAGGCTAATAATTTGCCGGCTGGTAACTAAATACAGGGTGAGAAACTCTTGCTGGGAGCTTTGCCAAAACACTTTTCTTGCATGGTAGCGAGCGTTTATATGAGATTAAAAATTGAGCTATTTGCAATTGCCCCAACCAAGAGCCGGCGAACAACGGCTCTTGGCCAGGCCCCCGGGGGGGTGTACTTTAGGAATTTCGGGGTGGGGATGTGCCGCTGGGACCCTGGAACCCTTAACCTATACCAGAGCTAGTTCAGCTGAATTTAGCTACTCTAAACTAAAGTAAACTTCTCAAATCCCCCCCTATCCTAGAGTAACTGTTTCCCTAGTCTAGATAAAATCTTCAACCAATCAGTTTCCTGAAAAATGATACCCTATTCTAGACCCAAACACTCTGATTTATATACCCTATCCTAGAGTAACTTGCTCGAAAACCATACGCTAAACAGCGGCACATACCTATATAGCCCATATATGGCAGTACCCCCTGGGGCCAGGCCTTACCATCAAAGAGGGGTAAGGATCCGCCTAGCCGGGTTCCAACTTTTTGATTTTCATGTAAACGGCTCGCCACATTTTGTACACCAAAGAAAATTTCTTATAAGAGCCCAACAAAATAAATGTCAAATTTAACAAAATGACATCTTACACATGAAAGTTTTAGAATTTTACCTGTGTTTCCACAATTCTTGTGAAAATTGACATTTATTTTCTCGGGCCCCTTTGAAAAATAGTCTTTGCATGGTGTTATTACAGTTGACTAATTATATCTATACATGTAGCCCTTGAAAAAAAAATATAAAAAAGAATGCAATAATTAATGTTTAAATTATTCTGGTACAAGGTTTTTGTCCACTGAAAACTAAAACTACTCAATTTCCTGATGGATTCCATCTTAAAACCCTCCAGCCCTCTAAGGCTGACCAACATTCAATTTCTACCTACAATAATACTAATTAGTCAATCATATAAATAGTGAGAAAAAAGCAAATGATCAACAAGTTAGTGAAAGGGGTCTTCATTGTTGTAATTGTTGATTTTGGTTGAAAGGATGGAATCAAAATAACTTAGTAGTTTTCTTCTCATGAACGCAGCAAGGTAAAAGACATAGCCACAGGTTCAAAAGGGTGATTTTTGTGGCGCAAATCGCCATTGCTATAATTAAAAATTTTTTAGCACAATTTGAAATCTGCAAAAATCACACCACGCTAAGTGAATATGCGTTAAGTCTATTAAAAGAGAAAAGAATCTTTGTTGTGCTGTGTTCACATCCTTCATAAGTGGATGTTTGTCGTCCTGGCCCCGATTGTTTGAAAGGTGGATAACTTGACTATCCACCCGATAAATCTCTATTCAACGGATAGCGCAATAATTGGTTTCCCTTTATACTTATCCGCTGGATAGTGATCTGTCTGGTGGATAACGCTATCCAACTTTTGAACAGCCGGGGCCTCATCACATCTGTCCTTCACTAGCTTCACATGCAGACGTTTAGCCTGCGAGCAAGCTCTCCTATTTGGGCAAGCGAAGCGAGTCTCGCGAGAATGCTGCCCCTCGCGGCTTCGCCACTTGCTCACGCGTTCTCGCAAGACTCGTTTCACTTGCCAACATAGGAGAACTTGCTTGCTGGCTAGCAGACATTCTAAGCGTTCGTCATGCATTCCTGGCCCCCGAACGTTGAGAGGATTGCGTGACAAGCCAATAGAACGTCTGCGTGGGAGGAAAATCATCCATAAAAGCCCAAAAAGCGCAATAATTGGTTTCCCTTTATACTTATCCGCTGGATAGTGATCTGTCTGGTGGATAACGCTATCCAACTTTTGAACAGCCGGGGCCTCATCACATCTGTCCTTCATTAGCTTCACATGCAGACGTTTAGCCTGCGAGCAAGCTCTCCTATTTGGGCAAGCGAAGCGAGTCTCGCGAGAATGCTGCCCCTCGCGGCTTTGCCACTCGCTCATGCGTTCTCGCAAGACTCGTTTCACTTGCCCACATAGGAGAGCTTGCTTGCTGGCTAGCAGACATTCTAAGCGTTCGTCACGCATTCCTGGCCCCCGAACGTTGAGAGGATTGCGTGACAAGCCAATAGAACGTCTGCGTGGGAGGAAAATCATCCATAAAAGCCCAAAATATTAATATTAGGAAATTTCCCATCATCAGATTGTGTAGAGAAGGGCAAAGAATATTAAACAAAAGGAAAATATGGCAATTTACCATACTAGAACAACAAATAACTTGATAAATGTCTTGAAATTACTCTTAGAAAATATGTACTGTCGAATACAGAAACAGGGCGGGCATTGGAACAAACTAAAGGATTGTCTTGATGACAATGCAGCCACCGTCATGTAAAGCTTTCCATTGATTACAAGCCAACTCTGTCTGGTGCTTTATAGTTGGCCATATATAGTCTCCCATAACATTTCCAGGCTTAATCAAGTGTAAGGGGTGTACTCTTACATATCAAAAACAGCATAACTTTCTGTTTCTGCCAGCTGGATTTCTTGTTAACGAATTGTCTACATTACTAGATATCAAGCTGATACTGTCTGGATCATTCTTGATTTTCATTCGCTGGCATGGCTCTTTTGAAGTGAACTTGGCAGGAGGTCCAGGACACCATGAAGAAGAAGATAACTGATGTTCAACAACGACAGAGGCCGAAGCAGCAGAAATCCGCAAGTCTTTCTGCTCCATCAATTGCTCTGTCAGCACAGAAAACATCTCTTCGATATTTTCTCCAGTTTTCGCACTAACCTCGATGTAAAACAAGTTGAACTGCTCCTTTACCGTTTCAGCATCGACCACCCTTTGTTCACAGTCTGTTTTGTTTCCTACAAGGATAATAGGAATGTCTCTGTCACACTTCTTACGCACCATAGACACCCACTGACCAACACTCCCCAAGGAATCCCACGATGCAACATCAAACACAACAGCCGCACCATGGGCACCACGATAGAACTGTGGAAAGGTGCTTGTAACTTTCATCTGCCCCGGTGTGTCCACTATCTGAAGGAAAACTGTCTTGCCCTTAAGTTGAACTCGCTCGTTGAATTCTCCAATATTAAGAGTCCCTGGTCTTCTTTCTTGAAAGTCAAGACCAGGTCGGACGAACCTTTTGATGATGCTGGTCTTCCCTACTGCAGCATCTCCCACCACCACAATTTTGAACTCGTAGTCATAGTTCCCACCAGGCATGTGATGAATAGTATGTGTGCGATTGATGCTGTCCTGCCATCTTTGAAATTCATTGTTGTTTTTGTGTTCCATCAATTCGTTCACCAACTGATGGGCTGTGGGACGGACCTTAGGGTCATCCTCGAGACACTGCCGTACGAGCAACCGCAAAGGGTGCGTGATGTCTATTTCATGTAGGTCCTCGCTCCGCCGCATGTACTCAGGGACTATTTTCCCATCTAAAGGCAACCAAACAAAACA